GGATTCACGCCTGTGTAATCTCCCACCTTATGAAACTCTGCTCGATGAAGGTTTCTATGGAAAACCAATTGTCCTTGAAACCGAACCAGATCAAGAGTTTCTTGGCTTCATGCTGGAAACGGAACCACTTGAGCTCATTTACAGTGGTCCAACGAACATCTCCCAAGTTTTGTCACCTTTCTCCGCCTCTCCTCCCAAAGTTCTTCTGAGCGGTTTTCGGTCTCGATGTCATATTGTAGTCAAGGGTGCTTTTCCTCAATTTCGAGTCCAACAAGGATTGGACCAACTGGTTGACTTGTACAGTCTGGCAGGCTTTGCACGACCTGAATTAGTGAACATCGCGGCACTCATCCAATCTCAGGTTCCTAAAAAACCTTCTGTCAATTCTTCCTGCACGGGTTTTTTGCACTTCATTGTCGTTCCCCATACCTGTTTTACCCGCTGTCATTTGACTTCCATTCATGTCCTATTCTCCCTTAGCACATTTGGCCCAAAATCGGATACCTGCTCGCGTATACATTGAATTGCGTACCATGGATCTTTCCCATGGTCAAGAAATTCACTATCATCTAGCCAGAGCCATGATGCATCTAAACACCTTGGCCGGCTATCTTCCGTTCTTTGAACCGGCAGTGGACTGGGACGATCCGGAACCATATATGTATCGTCGACCGGGACAAATGGCCCCTCATGCCAGACGACATCTCCATACTTTCGTACCTGCACCAACAGAGTCACCAGCTGCCACAACTAAGGGTGTCTCATGCAGGGATGCCAAGTCACATTATCATGAACCCAGTTCCACATTTTCGACCTATCGTTGACCGCAGAGAGCCTATCCCAGATTCAACTTCTGGCCACCCAACTTCACATCATGACCCTCCACCAAGCGTCACTGCTCCACCATCCTCCATGTCTACTGGCCCCAATCCAAAATCTCACCCTCACACCCATCCTCCTCGACCAGCTTATTCAGAGGAGCGTCCAAACAAACGACCTCGCACGGAGCGAGAGCCCAGCCTCCATTCTCGAGTTGGAGCCCTACGACCCGTTGCACAAAATCCCCCACCACGAGACAACCATGGCCACGAGACAACCTCCGGCACTCCAAATACCCTTTCCACCGCCTGCGGAGTGGCATCAGCTCCATCTGATCCTACTCGTCACCATCCACCACAAGCCAATCCACCACTTCCTATCTCCTATGCTTCGGGCTCATCAGATGACGATGTGACGTACCGTAAGTCCAGACAGGAGACCACTACAGCTCACAATCGAGTCAAATCGATACATCGATCGAATGAGGATTGGTCTGACACGAGCCCAATCCGTCTTGACCTACGGCCTCCATCTCCTCCATTGCTGATTGCAGTGACTCCACCCCACGAGTCCAATTCTCGGGACACTATCCAGCGCGATCAATCCCAGCTCAACCTGGGGGACCTTTCATCCCAGGCACCATGCCCATTCCATTCAAATCCTGGACAGATGCTGAAGATCAAGAATTGATTTCCTACAAGACGGACACAAAAGCCCGACCGTCGTGGAAAACAATTGGCGGTCGCCTTAATCGAGATCCAGAAGTATGCCGACTTCGCTGGGCGGCCATCAAGTCCACCATCAAGGATTCGCGTACTGAACCGGAGGCTGAAGATCCGGAATGAACTCCAAATGTGAGTTAACCGAGGGACATGTCATGCTGGAACAAATACTTACAACCTGTATGTCAGTGCTGCATCAGAACTGTCTCATCTTGTAAGCCATCTTGTGAGTTGCATCTTCCTCATGTTGTCCAGTATTTAACATTTTGAGTCTCTTTCCTGGCTCAAACCAATTTCATTTTCCTGTATTGACTTTTTCTTCCCATGGCACGACCCAGATCTCGGTCGTGTGTCCGACATGAAATCCCACGTCCATATTCCACCACAACTTCCACCTCCTCGTATTCTTGTTGGCCCATACAATAACCGCCGAGTACTTCTTTTTATCAACCTTGAACCTGTACGACAACTCCTTTTCGATCAAAACAATGATGCGATGGAGGTGACCACCAGAAACTACGAATCCAACATCCTTCCAGCGGAACAGAAGGCACTTTTTACTTACTCTCACCTCTTGAAGCCCCAACAGATACGGATGACCAATATTAGGGACATCATCCACGGCGTCATCAACTACATCTTCAGCACATGGGGCGTTTTGGTCCCCACTGAATCCATTTGTCTTCAGTGGGACGACAATGCTGAAAACGGGGTACTTCTAGGACTACGGGATCGCCTTGAGACCGTGCTGTCCACATATCGCCCTCATTGGAGATATGCCCAAGAATCAGGTGCGTATCGCATTTTAATTCCATTTTCGGGACCTTGCAGTCCTTATGTCATGCGAATTACGTGTCATTCATTCACACCAAATGCTGCCGCATGAGTTTGATCAAAATAGTAGCGATGACATTTCGACTTCTGAAATTGCTTGTGGGCTTTCCGCTGGTTCTCTCTCTCACTTGCTCTTTTTGCCTATTGCTTCCGCTTATTCTCGTAATTTTCAGCCTGGCTCAAAGTTGTTCTCGCGTTTCCGCTGTTCCATACTCAGTGCCTCGTGAACGCTCTCGTTCTCATGACTCTTCCCCAGTCACGTCACCGATTGATCCTCGAGCTACACCCCGTGACAATCCTTTCCGTCATCGCCGTGTTCTCCTCATAGTCTGTCTGGATCAGGTTCGGGAACTGGCCACAGAACAGGAGTCCGACACAATGGATGTCACCACTCGAGCCTTCGAACCCAACATTCTACCAACGGAACAAATGGCCCTGTTCACCTATGCCAAGTTGCTGACCATGATACAGATCAGAGAAACGACCATCGAAATGGTACTTTACCAAATTGTGGACTATATCTTCAACACGTGGGGCGTGATTGTCTCACCCCATTCTATGGACCATCGCTGGGATGACCAGAGTGGGGATGTCTGTGTCCTTTCGCCATCACCAAACCATCGGCGGTCTTCTTGCTGAACATAGACCCTTCTGGCGAGTAGCTCAGGAAGGTGGCATCCTTCGCCAACTCACACCACTTCGGCGGAACAATAGCCCTTATATTTTGAGGTTCACTTGCCACAAAGCCCTGGCCAATCCGCTGTACCTTCCATAATGCGGGAAAAAAGTGCCCACCCTGGATGGTCCAGTATTCTTTCTTTCAGGGTTACTCTGTTTTACTAGCTCCAACTCCTACATGTGCTTGGTTCATGTTCCTCCTTGTTTTTTATGTCTCTCCATGTCTTTCTTGTGCAGCTGTTTAAGATGTCAAAACGAAGCTCGGATCAGGCAAACCTTGCATCCCCAAGGGATCTCCGTGCTGATCCTTGGTCCGGCCCTATGTCCTACTCCCACACTCATACTTCGGGACCCGCTCCCTCTACGGCATCATCCTCGAACCAAGAACTTGTCGCTCCATATGTTCCAACATCATCAAATCCAGCCCAATCGTGGGCCGCCCCGGTGACTCCTGCCCCGCTCTCCTCTCCCACAGGATGGTACACGGCAGATTCCTTCATCCCCATGTCGGATGTGGACCTTCAGGTAGTCCACACCCAAGTTTTCAAGAGGGCGTCGAGAGGATTCGGTGATCAAACCAAACATCAACTGCAAATTGTCGAACAATGCCAACATGGAGGACAACGAAATCGTCGTCCGGAATTTTTCTTCCACGGTGTCCTAGGACACGTTAAAGATTGGTATGGACAACCAATCGATGCATGGCGGGAAGCAAATCGCATCTCCAATTACTGGAGGAGGTTCTACCAAATCCCGGAAATCCCTTATGAGGAATCAGGAGTGTGGGACAATCAACACAATCGAGGACAAGAACCTACTGACGAAGTCACAGACCAAGGGGACCCTCCCGCCCCCGCGGAAGATTCAATGTCAATGACAGCTGAACCGGGGGTCCACGCTACCCCGATTCCTCTACAGATTCATCAATTGGCAGCAACCCTCTACAATGTGTTGATCCAGGATGAAGAGTTCAATGCTCCGATTCTTGAGAAGCTTCATGTGGATCCGACCTTAGGAGCCAACCCGCAACTTGACGCCTGGTCGGCTGCAGACATGGGCCACCTTGCGAGCCATCTGGCCATCACGGCCACCAATCTGTCTCGGGCAGGTGATATGATGCCTGGCGGTGCAGGTTTTCATTGGCAAGACGACGATGATGATGCCTTATGATCGTCTACTGAGAGACGACAATTCGCTGGTTTGTGGACAATTTGGAACTCTTTCCCTGTGTTTTGATTTCTGGGAATCCTGCTTCAGGGATCCAACCATTGCGACGTGACATTGGCTCACGCAGACCATCTTCCAAAAAAGCCCCGCGGCAGCGGGGCGTGTGTGTGGAACATCTGACGAGATGTAAAACTTCTGCTTTCGTTTTTGTTTGTTACTTCATTGCGAAATTGACTTGTTATCTATAGATATTTCGGTCTTGTTTTTTCACATGTCACATTTCCAAGCAGGGGGCTGCAGGGAATGTCATAGTCCTGCAGCCAACGAAGATGGCTATGACATTCTGTGATATCGATCCGGGACGCTGGATCGACGTACCTGCTTTTCCATTTCATTTTGCAATGTGTATTTCCTCGTGCATGGCAACCGGCTAAGCCAAGAACCGGCAAGTCGAACCACTAGTTTCTAACTTTCGATGTCGCTGCACTGTTGTCGCAACCTGGTACAGGGTAATGATCTTGCCTTGAAGAAAGGGAAGGAACTACTTCAAACCGTTTGCCTCTAGCTGTTCAGGAAAACTTTTTGATTCATACTCTAGACCGGTCGATCACTCACTCCTGTCAGGTTTACTGAAGTGTGTTTTGCACGTAAGATGCACTCCACACCAAAATTCGATAAGACAATTCTGAGCAAGTGTGTGTGTGTGTAGTTGTATGTGTATGCCTTACTGTAGATTTGTGATTCATGTTAAAGTCAGCAGCCCTGTTTTGCCCAAGGTACTCAGGAGGCACATCGCTCAAGCGCATCAGCTCCTGCAAATTCTTTTGATGGGCTTTCTCTTCGGCAATGCTTGGTCTGACTAAACTTTAGGAAACTTTCTGAAATCAAGCGATCCCTACGTCAACAAAAGAGGGCTGCCAGGGGCATGCGTGCACAGGCACAAACCGCGACGGCATCAAACTGAAAGGGAACGTGCACGACTAATACATTTACTGTCTCTGGGTAGTATGGATGCACCCACGTCGATTCAGCTAGATACAGCAACTGCACACACGCACTCAACTTACATCCATTTGAACCAGAAATGAACACACGACATCGTCACGACATCCGTGTTTGATCATGATTGCACTTAGTGTGGGATTGGAATCAGCTGGGCAAGTATGAATCCATCAGCAAAAGCACGCACGAATACGCCAGAAATTGTATCACCGTCATATGTCATATGACTTATGCAAACACTAACCCTGCGAGGAAAAGAGACCTTTTAAAAGGGACTGTCATGTCGGAAACACTGTGCTGGTTTCACGTGAAACAGGGTTCATACACAAATCTTTCCTTGACAATGCAAATGCTACAAGTGAGTGCATGACATTGGGCTGATACGGATTGATGAGCAGCATGTCATCAAAAATCTCTATATAACTGGTAGTCCGTCCCTCCATGTCATATAATCAAAGGAAGTTGGGAAGCAATACTTCCGTGTTACGGACAAATAGAATTCTGAGACTTGAAATGATGAAGGGCGGTGGATCGTATATCAATACATAACATAACAATACATAACAAAAAAATAAGAAGCGGTGGAATTGACCTTGATGAAGGGTGCTGACAATGACGGGGTGGTGACGAAGGGAAGTGGTGACAAGGGAAGTGGTGACGAAGGGAAGTGGTGACGAAGGGAAGTGGTGACGAAGGGAAGTGGTGACGAAGGGAAGTGGTGACGAAGGGAAGTGGTGACGAAGGGAAGTGATGATGAAGGGGAACGAAGGGAAGTGGTGAGGAAGGGAAGTGGTGAGAAGGGAAGTGGTGACGAAGGGAAGTGGTGACGAAGGGAAGTGGTGACGAAGGGAAGTGGTGAGAAGGGAAGTGGTGACGAAGGGAAGTGGTGACGAAGGGAAGTGGTGACGAAGGGAAGTGGTGACGAAGGGAAGTGATGATGAAGGGGAATGGTGAGGAAGGGAGGTGGTGACGAAGGGAAGTGGTGACGAAGGGAAGTGGTGACGAAGGGAAGTGGTGACGAAGGGAAGTGGTGACGAAGGGAAGTGATGATGAAAGGGAATGGTGAGGAAGGGAGGTGGTGACGAAGGGAAGTGGTGACGAAGGGAAGTGGTGACGAAGGGAAGTGGTGACGAAGGGAAGTGGTGACGAAGGGAAGTGGTGACGAAGGGAATTGTGACGAAGGGAAGTGGTGACGAAGGGAAGTGATGATGAAGGGGAATGGTGAGGAAGGGAGGTGGAGACGATGGGAAGTGGTGAGGAGGGGAAGTAGTGAGGAAGGGAAGTTGAGTTGGGGAGGAAGCCGGAGCACGAAACCTTGTGTTTTTCTGTGGAAAGTGGCTTCAGCCGGCGATGAAAGGTACCTCATGTGTGCGGCGGTTGCTGTTTGGATCGTTTCGAGTTCAATCGGTTCCTCCTCTGTGTTCTGCAACGAGTGGTTCTTCCTGTGTGCGTAGTTCTATGCGTTTCTTGAATCTGTGGTTGCAGATCTTATTGGAATGGCTGCGTGATTGTTGTCATCTGGTGTTGCCATGTGCGTAGATGCATGCGGGTTAGCAACTTAAGGCTATCTTGTGGGGAGGAAGCGGGAGCACGAAACCTTGTGTTTTTCCGTGTAAAGTGGCTGCAGGCGACGATGCAAGGTACCTCGTGTGTGCGTCGGGTGCGGCTGGGGTCGTTTCATGCGCGAATTGGTTCCTCCTCTGTGTTCTGCAACGAGTGGTTGCGTTTGTCTGCGTAGTTCTATGCGTTTCTTGAATCTCTGGTTGCGGATCGCATTGGAATGGCTGCGTCAAGGTTGCATGAGCTATCTTGTGGGGAGGAAGCCGGAGCACGAAACCTTGTGTTTTTCCGTATAAAGTGGCTGCAGGCGACGATGAAAGGTACCTTGTGTGTGCGGCGAGTGCGGCTGGGGTCGTTTCATGCGCGAATTGGTTCTTCCTCTGTGTTCTGCAACGAGTGGTTGTGTCTGTCTGCGTAGCTCTATGCGTTTCTTGAATCTCTGGTTGCGGATTGCATTGGAATGGCTGCGTCAAGGTTGCATGGGCTATCTTGTGGGGAGGAAGCGGGAGCACGAAACCTTGTGTTTTTCCGTATAAAGCGGCTGCAGGCGACGATGAAGGTACCTCGTGTGTGCGGCGGGTGCGGCTGGGGTCGTTTCATGCGCGAATTGGTTCCTCCTCTGTGTTCTGCAACGAGTGGTTGTGTCTGTCTGGGTAGTTCTATGCGTTTCTTGAATCTCTGGCTGTTGGATTGGCTCAGTTGGATTGGACTCACTGTAGCTGCTTTTGCTGGAAGTTGCCTGCTATTTCGATGTCTTCGATATGTTCTCGAACTCTTGATAAGAAAGACACTAATGAAATGCAACTATATTTCATAATAAGAATATATCGTACTAACATGAAGCCATTCGCATGCTGATGCTATTGGAATGGCTGCTTCATTGTTGTCATTTGATGTTGCCACGTGCCTAGATAGGTGCAGGTTTGCTACGGGATGCTGCGAAACGCATTGTAATGGCTGCATGATGTTGCATGGGCTGTGTGTTGGGGAGGAAGCCGGAGCACGAAACCTTGTGTTTTTCCGTGTAAAGTGGCTGCAGCCGGCGATGAAAGCTACCTCGTCTGTGCGGCGGTTGCGGCTGGGGTCGTTTTGTGCGCGAATTGTTCCTCCTATGTGTTTTGCAACGAGTGGTTGTTCCTGTGTGCGTAGTTCTATGCGCTTCTTGAAGCTGTGGTGGCAGATCGCATTGGAATGGCTGCATAATTGTTGTCATTTGGTGTTGCCACGTCCGTAGATAGTTGCAGGTTTGCTACGGGATGCTGCGAAACGCATTGGAATGGCTGCGTCAAGGTTGCTCGGTGCCGCGGCTGCATGCGTAATACTATTGTCTTTTGCAGCTGAGCATCGTAAATCGTATTGGAATGGCTGCATCCTGGCTGCGATAGCGATTTGTCAGTAGATTTTCTCAATTTTGACGCTAGTAATTTTCCTTTTAAAAATTGTTTTAAAAAGTGCTTCAAAATCGTCTTTTTTCTGCTTTGGCGTCGAGATCCGGTTTTGGAGCTGCAGTTTCCGAGGCCGTTGCACGTAGTTCTATTGTGTTTTGCAATTCAGTCTCTGCAGATCGCATTGTAATGGCTGCGTCAAGGTTGCTTCGTGCCGCGGCTGCATGCGTAATACTATTGATTGTTTTTTGCAGCTGGATCTCGTAAATCGTATTGGAGTGGCTGCATCAAGGCTGCGACAGTGATTTGTCAGAAGATTTTCTCAATTTTGGCGCTAGTAATTTTCCTTTTAAAAATTCTATATAAAGTGCTTCAAAATCGTTTTTTTGGCTTCAAGAAAGCTTCTCTGTGTAAAAACATGTTTCTGTAAAAGCTTGCTGTGTGTAAAAGATTTTGTGTTCAAAAGCTTGCTGTGTGTAAAAGCTTCTCTGTAAAAGGGTCTCTGTGCAAAAGTTTCTGTGTGTGTAAATGCTTGCCATGTGTAAAAGCACTGTGCGTAAGTGTTCTGTGTAAACGCTTGCTGTGTGTGAAAGCTTGCTGTGTGTAAAAGCTTCTCTGTGCAAAAGCTTGTTGCGTGTAAAAGCTTCCCTGTGTGTAAAAGCTTCTCTGTTTAAAAAGCTTGCTGTGTGTGTGTGTAAACGCTTGCCATTTGTAAAAGCACTGTGTGTAAGTGTTCTGTGTGTAAACGCTTGCTGTGTGTGAAAGCTTGCTGTGTGGAAACGATTTTGTGTGTAAAAGCTTGCTGTGTGTAAAAGCGTCTCTGTGCAAAAGTTTCTGTGTGTAAACGCTTGCCATGTGTAAAAACACTGTGTAAGTGTTCTGTGTGTCAACGCTTGCTGTGTGTGAAAGCTTGCTGTGTGTAAAAGCTTCTCTGTGCAAAAGCTTGTTGTGTGTAAAAGCTTCTGTGTGTAAAAGCTTCTCTGCTTGAAAAGCTTGCTGTGTGTAAAAGCTTCTCTGCGAAAGAACTTGCTGTGTGTAGAAGCTTTCTTTGTGCAAGCTTGTTTAAAAAGCTTGCTGTGTGTAAAAGCTTCTCTGCGAAAGAACTTGCTGTGTGTAAAACCTTTCTTTGTGCAAACTTTGTATCACAATGTAGTCCTGGGACGTACTTTCTGCAAGGTTTGTAGTACAAAGTAGTACTGGGATGAAATACTTTGTGTAGGCTTTGTAGTACAAAGTAGTACTGGGAAGTAGTTTGTGCAAGCTTTGCAGTACACAGTAGTACTGGGAAATACTTTTTGCAAGCTTTGTAGAACACAGTAGTACTGGGAAGTAGTTTGTGCAAGCTTTGTAGTAGAAAGTAGTACTGGGAAGTAGTTTGTGCAAGCTTTGTAGTAGAAAGTAGTACTGCGAGGTAGTTTGTGCAAGCTTTGCAGTGCAAAGTAGTACTGGGAAGTAGTTTGTGCAAGCTTTGTAGTGCAAAGTAGTACTGCGAAGTAGTTTGTGCAAGCTTTGTAGTACACAGTAGTACTGGGAAATACTTTTTGCAAGCTTTGTAGAACACAGTAGTACTGGGAAGTAGTTTGTGCAAGCTTTGTAGTGCAAAGTAGTACTGCGAAGTAGTTTGTGCAAACTTTGCAGTACAAAGTAGTACTGGGAAGTAGTTTGCGCAAGCTTCTGTAATAGACATAGTACTGGGAAGTAGTTTGTGCAAGCTTCTGTAATAGACATCAGTACTGGGAAGTAGTTTGTGCAAGCTTTGTAGTGCAAAGTAGTACTGCGAAGTAGTTTGTGCAAACTTTGCAGTACAAAGTAGTACTGGGAAGTAGTTTGTGCAAGCTTCTGTAATAGACATCAGTACTGGGAAGTAGTTTGTGCAAGCTTTGTAGTACAAAGTAGTACTGCGAAGTAGTTTGTGCAAGCTTCTGTAATAGACATCAGTACTGGGAAGTGTTTGTGCAAGCTTTGTATTGCAAAGTAGTACTGCGAAGTAGTTTTGTGCAAGCTTTGGTAATAACATCAGTACAAGTAGTTTGTGCAGCTTGGTAGGTGTTGCTAAAGTAGTACTGCTGATTAGTTTGTGCAAACTGCATACCAGTAAGTACTGGGAAGTAGTTTGTGCAAGCTTTGTAGTACTAAGTAGTACTGGGAAGTAGTTTGTGCAAGCTTCTGTAATAGACATCAGTACTGGGAAGTAGTTTGTGCAAGCTTCTGTAATAGACATCAGTACTGGGAAGTAGTTTGTGCAAGCTTCTGTAATAGACATCAGTACTGGGAAGTAGTTTGTGCAAGCTTCTGTAATAGACATCAGTACTGGGAAGTAGTTTGTGCAAGCTTCTGTAATAGACATCAGTACTGGGAAGGAGTTTGTGCAAGCTTTGTAGTGCAAAGTAGTACTGCGAAGTAGTTTGTGCAAACTTTGCAGTACAAAGTAGTACTGGGAAGTAGTTTGTGCAAGCTTCTGTAATAGACATCAGCACTGGGAAGTCGTTTGTGCAAGCTTTGTAGTGCAAAGTAGTACTGCGAAGTAGTTTGTGCAAACTTTGCAGTACAAAGTAGTACTGGGAAGTAGTTTGTGCAAGCTTCTGTAATAGACATCAGTACTGGGAAGTAGTTTGTGCAAGCTTCTGTAATAGACATCAGTACTGGGAAGTAGTTTGTGCAAGCTTCTGTAATAGACATCAGTACTGGGAAGTAGTATGTGCAAGCTTCTGAAATAGACATCAGTACTGGGAAGTAGTTTGTGCAAGCTTTGTAGTGCAAAGTAGTACTGCGAAGTAGTTTGTGCAAACTTTGCAGTACAAAGTAGTACTGGGAAGTAGTTTGTGCAAGCTTCTGTAATAGACATCAGTACTGGGAAGTAGTTTGTGCAAGCTTCTGTAATAGACATCAGTACTGGGAAGTCGTTTGTGCAAGCTTTGTAGTGCAAAGTAGTACTGCGAAGTAGTTTGTGCAAACTTTGCAGTACAAAGTAGTACTGGGAAGTAGTTTGTGCAAGCTTCTGTAATAGACATCAGTACTGGGAAGTAGTTTGTGCAAGCTTTGTAGTGCAAAGTAGTACTGCGAAGTAGTTTGTGCAAACTTTGCAGTACAAAGTAGTACTGGGAAGTAGTTTGTGCAAGCTTCTGTAATAGACATCAGTACTGGGAAGTAGTTTGTGCAAGCTTTGTAGTACAAAGTAGTACTGCGAAGTAGTTTGTGCAAGCTTCTGTAATAGACATCAGTACCGGGAAGTAGTTTGTGCAAGCTTTGTAGTGCAAAGTAGTACTGCGAAGTAGTTTGTGCAAACTTTGCAGTACAAAGTAGTACTGGGAAGTAGTTTGTGCAAGCTTCTGTAATAGACATCAGTACTGGGAAGTAGTTTGTGCAAGCTTCTGTAATAGACATCAGTACTGGGAAGTAGTTTGCGCAAGCTTCTGTAATAGACATCAGTACTGGGAAGTAGTTTGTGCAAGCTTTGTAGTACTAAGTAGTACTGGGAAGTAGTTTGTGCAAGCTTCTGTAATAGACATCAGTACTGGGAAGTAGTTTGTGCAAGCTTCTGTAATAGACATCAGTACTGGGAAGTAGTTTGCGCAAGCTTTGTAGTACAAAGTAGTACTGGGAAGTAGTTTGTGCAAGCTTCTGTAATAGACATCAGTACTGGGAAGTAGTTTGTGCAAGCTTCTGTAATAGACATCAGTACTGGGAAGTAGTTTGCGCAAGCTTCTGTAATAGACATCAGTACTGGGAAGTAGTTTGTGCAAGCTTTGTAGTACTAAGTAGTACTGGGAAGTAGTTTGTGCAAGCTTCTGTAATAGACATCAGTACTGGGAAGTAGTTTGTGCAAGCTTCTGTAATAGACATCAGTACTGGGAAGTAGGTTGTGCAAGCTTTGTAGTAGAAAGTAGTACTAGAACGTGTTTTGTGCAAGACATGGAATGAGATGAGAAGAGCCCAGATGAGATGAGTTGAAGTGTGAAGAGTGCAGTGTGAGATGTGGGGCGTGAACGGTGCAGTGTGAAGTGTAGAGTGTGAAGTGTGGAGTCTTAAGAGTGCAGTGTGAAATCAAGTGTGGAGTGCGAAGAGTGCAGTGCGAAGTGTGAAGTGTGGAGTGTGAAGCGTGAAGTGTGGAGTGTGAAGAGTGCAGAGAGAAATGTGAAGTGCGAAGTGGAGCTTCAAATGTGACATGAGAAACAGGGCCCCACTTTCGCAGAATGCTCGCACGCACGCGCTTGGCTGGCGCACGGCGCATGCAAGTTCTATAGATGAGAAAGGTCTTATAATATCTTTAAGGCAACTTCCGCCCCGCCTCGTGCGGGTACTACTGGTATCTTGCTGACCACGGAAATGCATTTCCGTGTAATTAACCATAAAACTCATGTAAGTCAGCCACAGGTCCTGTTATCACGCCGATTCATTTTTCTGCGAGACATTGCGTCTTGCAACGGTTTATGCGGCCCATGTTCTTCCCTTCAAAATGTTTGGCTGCGAAAGGTCAGGTGTCCATTTCCTGGCCTTGGGGCCATGGTCCGCTTCAGGGTCTTCACGACAGCGAGAGGTGCTTGAAATCCTGCAAAACTTGTCTGTGAAAAACACGCATCGCATTGTCAACCGTTGCCTTTCTGGAGCGAAAAGCGAATTTGTTATAGATACAATGCACCAAAATAATGTCCAAGTTGTGCGTGTGTATCAAACAATCAGGCAGGACGCGCATGTCAAAATAAGTCCAAGTGGCGCGCCCCCAGCACATTTTGTCGGTGGCGAATCAGTGAACAAATGAGCCACCCACGTCTGTCGCAAGACAAACAATTTTACATTTTGTGATCACGAAGAAAATGAGAACAATGGCGAAACAGGAAAATTGCTCGCCTTTGCACTGGAGCACCAACTTGAAATCGCCACTTCGGCTGCCTAAGCAAGTAGATGAAGCGACCATTAAATGTCGTGACATCTCTCTGACTGATTTGACTGAGGAGTGAAAGCATCCATCGCCTGGCAGGTGGCCCACCCCGGCACCAGTGCCATCTGGCAGGGCGGCGTAACCACCTTCCGAGGTGTGGTGTAGCTGGCTTCAACCAGTGGGATGTGCAAAGTTTATCCAGAATGGACGGTTTCGTGAGGGATCAGGACGAAGAAACCGAAACAGTGGCAAGAGTGAGTGATATCAACCTGGCCTGTTCATATGACTAAAACAACTTCAAATCGATAAATATGTTGCAGAAAAGCAGCGCAAAGAAAATCATACAAGCAGGGGGCTCGCTGCTGGGTTGGGGCATGGCCGTCTCCCAAATATGTTCAATAGTTTATGCACGGATACTTTCAAAGGTGTCACGATCGGCAGATGTTTTGTCAGCTGGACAGGGTCTGTGTCGGCCACGGTGAGTCGGCCGGCGCCAAGTGCCGTGTCGGCCGCCAAGGGGCTGTGTCGGACGGCGGCGCCTGAGTCCCAACTATCTTGCAACGTGCCAAGCATCTTGCAACGTGCCAACTATCTTGCAACGTCACAACATCTTCTAAATGTGCCATCTTTGACAGGTTACAAGAGAAAATTCCGAGCATAGCGTCAAGACCGGCTCAAAAAGTGACTGAAAAAGTTCAGAGCAGAGCATCAAGAGCGTGTCACAAGCTGCATGTGCCTGCGTCCGACAAGAGTTTCCCACCCCGTCCCCCCCACCCTCCTTCCCCCCACCCCCAAAATAATCACACGGTCATTTGTCGACAATGTTGTGAAACGTTTCAAGCATCTTGCAACGTGCCAAGCATCTTGCAACGTGCCAACTATCTTGCAACGTCACAACATCTTCTAAATGTGCCATCTTTGACAGGTTACAAGAGAAAATTCCGAGCATAGCGTCAAGGCCGGCTCAAAAAGTGACTGAAAAAAGTTCAGAGCAGAGCATCAAGAGCGTGTCACAAGCTGCATGTGCCTGCGTCCGACAAGAGTTTCCCACCCCGTCCCCCCCACCCTCCTTCCCCCCACCCCAAAAATAATCACACGGTCATTTGTCGACAATGTTGTGAAACGTTTCAAGCATCTTGTAACGTGCCAAGCATCTTGCAACGTGCCAACTATCTTGCAACGTCACAACATCTTCTAAATGTGCCATCTTTGACAGGTTACAAGAGAAAATT